AATAAAAAACTCACAAACATTTTTTTTATTCTATAAATTATTCTAAAAGCGTGTTTTAAACACACACTTAGTAAACACTGTTTACTATCTGAATGTCTACTTCAGTATTCCAATATTTTGAAATAAACTGAACCCAATAATCAGTTAGCAAATAATATTTCGTAGTATATTACAACCTCGAAAACAACTGGCAAATTATTTAATTATTTTATCAGTATTTTGACTTGATTTCAGGAATGTTTCCTACTAAAAAAATAAAGTTTCGCGCAAAACAACAATGTTTTGGGTTAACCAAGATGGCGGCTGACTTTAAAACTGGCTTTCCGCGTTTTATATAAAGTATATAGTACGGCGTCTCTTGTTTATTAAACCTCCTTGGATAACTTTCATTAAATGCGTTGAGAAAAAAAGCTGATCATCCAAATAAAAATTGCCATACAATATATATATATATATATATATATATATATATATATATATATATATATATATATATATATATATATATATATATATATATATATATATATATATATATATATATTGCAGCGGATTATTACTGTAATTAAAAAACAGTAATTGGAATGTTTTTAAAAAACAAATAACGAAACTAATCACTGTTAACACATTTAATGCAGTAAACACTGTTTAATTAAATTAAAACTAAAATAAAAAAACTTATAAAACTGTTAGAACAAACCTTATATCATAAATTGGGATGATATAAATAATAGTAATAAAAATACTTAATCACTGAAAAAAAATATCTACCTAAAAAAACAACGGACACTAAATACGCATATTAATATGATTTTATCTTTGAAACAATATATATATTTTCCGTATTAGCACTTTTTTTTTTCGTATGAACACTAATTTTTTTTTTCATTTGAACACTCATTTGTATTTTTAGCTTCATAAATTGTTCCGAAAGAAAGATATTGTTGCTAGAAAGCGAGTACAATGTAACCAAAAAAGAAATTTCTGACAATGCTGAATTTGCTCAAGAAACTGTTTAGAATCGTTTTTTAAATTCGATATTTACTAAAAAAAATTATATTATTCTTTTTCATTTTTTATATTCTTTTTTATACTTGTATTGTTTCTTACATTTGTACATTAACTTCTTATAACATTTTGCATTATGTATATATTAGATTTGTAAATAAAATTCTTTTAGTGTATTGTTTATACATATTGTACATGACAGGCAACTAAATCATTTATTAGCCAGTGGTTAGGATATAAATATAAGTTTTTTTTTTCAAATAAAAATATTTAACGAAATATTTTATTTATTTAATAAAATACTTTTTTTTAAAGTTTAGCATGTTACAAAATTTTAACAAGAATTAAGTTATGTTGATATATGGTTTCGCTACCGTGTATTTTTTTTTTAATATTTCGATGAAATCTCTTTATTTATTGTAGTGATCTTTTATCTTATAACGATCATTTTAAATTATTTTTTTTTTAGAATTTTCATTATTTTAATTTAACTCTTTTTTATATTTGACTATAAGAATTAGGGTGGTTCAAATTTAGGTCAAAAAATTTTTACGACTAGAGTGGAAGTTTATAAGGTGCACAGACCCTTGTTTTATATATCGGATTTTTTTTTTTTTTTTTTTAAAGTTTAAGGGTTTTTTTTTTACCCTTTTTTGACGTTTTTTGACCCGCGTGTGCCACTTTTAAACATTAAATTCAAATTATTTTTTTACAAATTCTTACAAGAACCTATACAATAAAAAAAAGGCACTCTATTTCTATTATTACTTTTCAACACTGAAAAACTTATAGAAAAGTCGCTAAATATTGACAAAAAAACGATTTTCTTTATTTCAGTGATCGCGGTAGCTTTCGTTGCTGCTTGTGATAAATAACATGTAGACATAAAAAAACTTCAAAACTACGTATACCTATACTTATATCAAATTGTAATGCTTTAAAAAAATTCCAATGATCGGAGCCTGAGATCTAAAAAAACCGTAAAACTTAGCCCCCCCCCCCTACCTTAATGGTGAGGGCAATTAGTTGCCCAAATTTATACTATTGTTATTCTGAACTAAATTTACATTTATCGACAGATTTCAAATTTCGTTTAATAATATTTTTAATAATATTATAATATATTTTAATAATATTTTATTATTTTAATAATATTTATTTATCTAATATATATCTATTATATATCTATTATATCTATTAATAATAGAATTTTAATAATATTTAATAATATATAATACTTATATCGAATTTCATTTAATAATATTGTAGCGTTCAAAAGTTATGACCATGTAAAGTTGCCACCCTCCCCAAAAAGAGGAAGTTAAAAGCTCAACGTATAGTTCTATGGTATTTTTGTGACAAAATCTAGTTTAATGTATTACATAATTTTTGATGTTAAACTTAGAGATGAATCTAGATGAAGTTGGATTACCACTCCCCTAATAATATAACTTTATTACGGGTTGCAGGTAGAGAAATGGGAATAAATAAAAATAAAGTTAACGTAATTTTAAACTTTGATTAAATAACCAACAATCAGCATTTTAAAATACTACTAATTACATTTGATGTTAAATCTTTTTTCTTTGTCCTTTTTTTATTTCTTTTGTAAACATGGTTTAACAAGAACAAATCTTGTCTCTTCTTCTCTTTCGTTGATTTTTCAATCAGCTCTTTTACTAGATTTATAGTCCTCTCTGACGAATTATTAACCACATCTAGAGATTTAATAGTAAATTCAAACTCAAGATAAAAATCGTTAAACTTCCGAAACTGCGAGGGAATCTTTAGCCACTGCAACTCACCCTTTCCATGTCCCATCTTATCAAAGATGAGCCAAGATTGATCAGTTATTAGAGAACAATGAGAAGGAGGCTGATCTTGTGAAAATTTTAGAGAGTGAAGAACCTCTTTATTGACCATAACACGTTCAAGTGGATACACTATTGGTTTGATGGGAAGTTTATTGTATAATGATGTGGCAATATCTTCTCTGTTTAAGCAATGTTTATCTGCTAATGCGATCACAACTAAGGCAAGGTCAAGGTACCAGCTGTGTCTGTCAAATGATTTTATTGCTAAAGTAGCTCCAAGAAGATTTATATCCATGAACCTCTTCATTTGCCACAGAGCTTTCATATCCTAAAAATATGTTTAAAAATATTAGATTAAGTCATCAATTGGAAAGTTAATTCATCAATACGCTTTTTTCTTATTTATAATGATTATTTTTAACCTGTTATGGCGCAGCAGTTGCCGATACTGTTCTAAAAAACCATTGAGTGTAAAAGATACCGACAAACATAGCCATTTCACGAATCTCTTCTTTATTTTCTTCTGATGAACTTGGAATAGCTTCCAATAGTAAATACATTTTAAGATAATGCAACGTTTTTGACATGAATCTTGCATGATGTATTGGACCAGGAATACGAAATTTGAACCTATCTTTTTGAGAAACTACCATTAAAGAAAGTTCCGCTAATTCTTGATAATCCTTTCTTGATTTACCAAAATAAAGGATTTTTTTTATTTATGATTATGATTTATTTTATTATGATTGTGTATACAGATTGTTTAAATTATTTTAAGCAAGCTTCTACAAAACTGTAATTGACCTTTTTGTAGATCCTGTTATCTATTGCATCTTTTAGAATTTTTCAGCTTCAAGATGTTGTTTATTTATCCAAGTTCCATTTGGAGTTTCAATCCTCTTCAATGTAACAACGTCTTTTTCAAGATCATTCCAGACAGATTTCAGGTGTTTAAAAAGCTGGTTTTCTGGACCAGACGTTTTAATACTGGGATATATCTTGTTAAAGTGGGTAATATGTCTTTCAAATATATGATGTCTACAGGCAAGGAAAAGTAGTGGCCTTCCCAGCTTATCGGCCATTCTTGTTATAACTCCTTGGTGCCTTCCGGTGTTGGAAGCTGTAGTATCAAAGCATATTCACTGTATATGATGACTAAAACCAAAAGAATCTAATAGATTATAAACTGCTTTAAACTGATTTTCCCCAGAACCTAACTCAATATGAGGAATACCTAGGAGCTCAGTTTTCCCATTCACTTTCACTAGTACTGCTAATCTTTTATGTAACTGAAACTTTATCTGTATATTTTTTAAATATTTTCCCGTCAAAGTGAACAGAAATCAGCTTATATTTGGAGTCAGTCAAGTCTTTTATATACTGTCTAATTTTTTGAGCTTCCGACTTTATTACTTTATCTACAGCTCGAAGAGATGATGATTTGCACACAACAAATTTATTTGTTTCTCCTTCTTTTTAGATCTTTTTGCAGACTTTTTAAAGCAAGTATCAGAAATGCCTAGATAACCTTGTCTTTTTTCCTTCTGCATTTTCAAGAACATAATGTCCATACATCTACTTTCTTCAGTTCTTTTTCTATCCTTTTTTATTTCATCAATCATGATTTGCATGTCATGTCCTAACCAGAATATCCTTTTAGATTCTATTAAGAAGTTCTCTCTATCTTTTATTGCTCCTTTTGTTGATCTGTTTCTTAGCGATTGCAGCTTTTTTGTATTTCATTACTGCAACCTTGACTTCTTTCCTAAAAATAAGACTTATTAAATAACTGTAAAGCTAGTTTAGATTAAGATTTCATAAATATTACTTACCGTAAAAAGCATTGTATGTCACGAGTTCTATATCCACCAAGTTTCCATGAAACCTTCAGCTTAGATATAACGCAGCAGTTCTCTCCCGAATCTGGACAATTCGGTGTACATGTAGAACCTTTGTTTGGACAAAAAACTAAGTTTTTGAGAGAAGTTGATGGTTTGTACTCACGTAAGTAAAGATAATACTGTATAACTTCTTCTGCAGTTGCAAATTGAATAGATGATAGAGTCTTTCTAGTTTTTTAACTAAGAATATTTCTTGGCCTCTATTTTTCTTTTTTTTAAGAATTTTCGGCATAATTTTTTATTTTACTTTTTATTTTATGTAAATAAATTATAATAAAATTGGTTTTTATTTAAAATAAACACTTTACCAACGTTAATAAGTTTTATTTAATGTTATTAAAATAGCAGATAACTTTGAGTATGATTATTACATTTGAACAATGCGATCATACCGTTGTCATTGAAATATTATTATTATTTTATTTATTTAACACCCAATTTACAAGGTAAAAAGAAAAAAATAAGAAAGTTATTTCGGATGACTTTGCTTAAAAACGTTTTCTTCCAGAATTTGCTTGAAAACTCCTCTTTGCTCTTTTGCATTCCAGCACTCTATTGCATACTTCAAGTTTCGTTCAACTTCGGAAGGAATTTTACTTTTAGAAAGTGGTATTTCTTTTTATTTTACCTTCTTTTTATTTTGAATTAGGTTTTGAAAATTTAATATCTGAAGATGGCATAGTTCCTGAATATCACTAACAAACGAATGTTGAAATAACGGGTGTTGCAGTTGTGAAAAGATAATGTCTGCAGTTGTTTTGTTATTAAGAAGTCGAAGGAACAAGTTTAACTTATTTTGTTGAACACTTTTTGAAATTTCCTGGATTTTAAATAACGAATTCATATAGTTTTTACTATGTTTTGAAACATTTAAAAACGATTTTAGCGCACTCCTTCCAATTATATCTAGCTTTTTCATCAGACCAGGATTATTTTCACATAGCTCCATACCATAAGTTAAGGTGGGGACTGCCATAGTTGCGTGTAAAGAAATAGTTGCGTGTAAAGAAAATTCATTAGATTTGAAAAAAAAAAATTTTCTTAAGTATTTTTAAAGGACATTTTTTAAGTTTTGAAAAAATAAATTGAGTTAGAGTGCCTTTTTATTTTTTTGTATAGGTCCTTGCAAGAATATTTAAAAAAAAATAATTTGAATTTAATAATGTTTAAGGGTGGCACACGGGGGCCGTGTGCCACCCTTAAACTTCAAAAAAAAAGAAAAAAAAAAAAATCCGATATATAAAACAAGGGTCTGTGCACCTTATAAACTTCCACTCTAGTCGTAAAAATTTTTTGACCTAAATTTGAACCACCCTAATAAGTATATACCGGTTTTTGCATCCATTTAAAACAAACGTGACATCCATTTAAAATTAAAATAAATTCCATTAAATTAAAATAAATTAATACAACATTAATAAAAATAAATTTAAATAACATTAGATAAATAATTATATAAAGAAAACCTTTTTTTTTTGTGAATAATATAGAACGTTGAGATTGCGCATCCGTTAAATGTTTTAAAA